CACATAACTTTTACTCATCCGTCCTAATTATGTAGGCCTATTGATCTAGCTATAAAACAGGAAATAGCTGTGCTTTAAACATAATACAAAAATGATATTAGGACGAAAATAAACACAGTTCGCAGACACCACCTGCTGTAAGGCTGTTTATGATCGAAAATATTTTCATTAATTTATATATACTTCTGCTAAATGAAATTGTATAGAAATTATACAAAATTCTTTATTCGAATGGCTAAAGACTACTAGTTTTTGCTCGACAGTTAACGTTCTTCAAAAAGTGTTCGCATTTGGTCGTACGGCCGCGTACTCCAGTAGTTCTTCGATAAGCTTCGATTTAGGTTAATCCGTCAGAAACACTTAGAAAACGTCTCTCTCCTTTCTTCTCTATGGGCATCGATATCGTTAAAAAAAAAAAAAAAAAAAAAAAAAAAAAGTCTTCTCCACTTAATTTCAATCAAAATGAAAGAGAAAAATGCACATGTGCTTGTTTGAGCCTTCCTCCTCAGCAGTTACGTATCGCCTTTGTCGTGTCGCAAACACTTGCAATAGGAACGGGCGAACTGGCCTACCTATATGCAACAATATCTATAGATAGCAGAGAATTTTTCTGACAGGAAACTTTAACATGTGTAGTTTGTCGTGGTTTCAGCAATGACATCATCTAAAGAGTTTTTGATCTCTGCTTGATTCTTAGTCTGGAATGCCTTTCAATTTTTGGCTCTGAAGGACATCACTATGGGCTGCGCGCAAGGTTTTCTAGGTGCGTAACATACGCGGGTGTTTCTCCTATTGTTGGTACGTATCCTTTTTCATACGACAGAGACGCTTCGCCTTCTCTGTTTTTCTGTCCGTTGCGGATGTTTTTGACGAGAATTTCTACGCTATTGTATCATAGCGTATGCGAACCAATGTTGGTTCTTACGACCCCGTCGTAACCATCTTTTTATTTCCCGTAGCTGCGCTGACAGGTGATTATGTTTATCACGGTAGAAATAACAAAGAATGATGGGGTTAAGAATAGTTGGCGTTGTAGTTTATATTTGAGTTTTGTGGTTGACTCTTGATTTAAAGTGGCTCAAAAATTTAAACTCTGTAGACTCTGAACACCAGAGAGCTATTGCGAGAGCCTTATAGCCACGCGTCTTATTTATGTGTGATTCTTGCTCTGTATCATAATAACCTTACTATTGTCCTTTCTATTTAAGGTACATCATTTCATAGTCTAGTAGACGCTGCCGAGTCATCGCCTCCACTTGTGTATATCGTCGACGGGCATGCGTATGGTGATTTATTGCCGCTTGTTGTTATTGCCGTCAAACGAAAGCCATATCCTTCTAGAATACTACGACAAACTCGACATGGCGAACATATGGCGTTGTTTTGTGTGAAGATGAGTTACGGCGTAATGTATTCATGTGGGTCAAACTTTCACCGAAATAAGAGAAAAAAATCTTTGTCAGAAATAGGCAATCTACGTTCTTGCTAGCCTTCATGCAGCTTCTATCGAAGAAAGAATTTCCTAATGCAAATCTAGAGGTCTTCAATGGAATCTAAATTTAAAGGGCTTGCAAGTTCAGACTGGCCCAAAAAGATTTCAGCAATCTGAATTTTTTATACAGGGATTAAGGTCGCTTTAAGAAGAAAGCATATTGTCTGTTGGGGTCGTTCATATAATCTCGAAGGATAAGACCGTGAAATGAGCCCTTGTATTGCCATCGATTATGTTCACAGTTCCTCTTGTTGAAAGAAAAAAAACAAAGCTATCGCTGAAAAATTCTATCATTCGACAAGTGACTTGCCGTATTTAGGCTATATAAAGCTCTTCAACACGGACGGTAATATGCAATAACGTTATAATCTACTTTTTGAATCAGTTAAGGAAGCATACAACACAATTTATTGGCTCGCCTATTGTGCGCACAGTTTCAAACAACTTCTACAAGGCCTGCGTATGGGTTCTGGTAAATTGTCATGTCCTTGTGGGGAGGTCGATGCTTCAAGGCTCGCTGAATAAGGTGCAGTATCGTCGTACAATACAGTAGCTAAGGGTCGGCTCTAAATGTTTTGAACACTACGAAACATCGCTGTTAAATCTTGACCTTATCTTGCCTATACCTTGTGAGACTTGTGGTTATGGCATCTTCACGACACGGGCATTGATGTCAGCAAATCTTAGACGTACGAGAATAAACACAAATCATAATCAACATCGGACGCCATAGCCAAAACTTTACTAACAATAGTTTTTTTGATCTAGCTACATTCAGTAGTACATTTCAGTTCCATTAGAATTATACTTTTAGCGCAATGCGATGGTTGGCTTATCGCATGTCGAGTGGTTACCTTTAAAGCAGTAACAAAAGTCTTGCGCACAAGTTCTGAACGATTGAAGTTACATCACAACTAGCTGAAGTGTTATACCCATTCGACTCTTGTCGTTTTCTGCTTCGGATGCCACTTGCATTATACGGTATGCGAATTCGTTGATATCTCTGTATCACTCAAAATACAGACATATACGTACAGGGTGAAACGTGACTTTAGTTTGATTAAATATAATATATAATTTGTCTGTCATGCTGACAGCGTAGCACTGCGTAACCGGTTACATAAACAGGTGCTTGTTTAGCTACTATTGGTGAACGTAAGCACAATGTCATAAGTACGTATGGGCTAGAATGGAGCAGGTAGTAGCACCGAAGGAGCTGTTAGGCAGAGGAACGTACCACATGCGATGATGTGACGTGGATCAAGACCGTTACGGTTGCATGTACTATGCACGAAAGTGAACCAAATTTTGAAGCTTACGCACGAAGAGTATGGACGCTGAAGATTATGAGATCGTGCACCATTTAATAGGCACGTTTTTATTGTCTGGAAAAGTAGTACACGTTCCGTCGAATCGGTCCGTAAAATAGCAGCTATCTTTAAGATGTGGATACTTGCGAGAAACACAGTTCTCTTGCGGCACAGCAGTTTCATTGTAGCAGCTCGTCCAACGCAGTCCGGGTTATCTCGCATCCACTGCGACCTATCTTTTACAAATCTACAAAACAGCTAAGCTCAGTCACAAAGGAAAATACCAGATAGTGCTCACGCATAGCTTCCGGCCAGCATCACCACTGCCTGACGATGGTTTACTTATATATACATCTATATTAATATATATACGTATTGGATATATATATATATATATAGTAGTACGAATAGGTGAATCGATAACTGTCTATGCAAGTAATACCAACCAAATACTGGTAGCGAGCATATCTATTATACGTTACTTAAACATGATGCGTCCCATTGGAGCCATTAGCCGTTATGAAGTTTAAATTTCGAGTTAAGTTGAGAGCTTGTGCCGGTTCTTTCGATGTAACAAAAATCTAATTATAATTTTACCGTCTAGATCCTTGAAAACTCTTTTACTCTAGAAGTTTGTCGTTTAGGATGCACCGTTCTCTATATCGCATTTAATTATGATTCTTCAACAAAGCTATCCCCAGAACATCTCTTCTTAGCTCAATGGTATTTGTTATAATGTGTGAAAAAAGTTTATTTCTACCATAAAATAAGGCCGTCACACTGATTCAGATGAGTCCTTGCTTTCGAAATATTTAAGTTATGCATACATAATTAATAATAATATGGCCACCTTCGCCCGGTGACTTTTCACTACTCTACAAGACGCTGATTCAAGCCTCACTAATAACATGTCATCAAATAAGGAAACAGACATTGACTCTATTACAGAGAGCTAACAAACAACCCTTTACTAAGCACATATACAATAACAGTGGTTTGTCAGTTGGATCTCATGGTCGTTCTGTGCGTACTTAATTACCGAAGTAAACTTCAACGATGTTAAATAACAGAGTGCACAATACGAAATGTTTTAGCTTTTATTCGGTTTGACAGGATTATATACTCATGTGATAAAATGGCATCATAATATATCCATACAGAGACCACTACGAGGCTTCGACGTATCCGAGGACTTCCAAACTTGAAAATTATTTTCCAACGAAGAAAACCAAATTATTTAATCTCTTGTTTGAATAATTTCTCATTGATTATTTTGGCCATCTTCTAAACGTTTTCCACGCGATCCACAAGTGTCGTCGATGAACTTCAAATTTTATATATATATATATATATGTATAATCATATGTTAACACTAATCAATCTTTTTCTATAACATTTAAAGCAAAAAAATGAATTTTTGAAATATTTTTTTTGGATTCGAAATATTATGAATTATTAGCGTTAAATATTCTTAGTTGAGTTTATATTTGTAGCATTCAATATGAAAAACCCTACATACCGCATCGCACTGGCACCCTCAAACACCAGCGTCGTTTAGGGTAGGCTCTGTTACTTTTCATTTAAAAGTGCCTCCCTTTACGCTGTGTCCTCTGGTAACTAGAACAATTTCGAATCGGTGAATGACGTCCACATATACAGCGTTCTATACATTATATTATATAGCGGCCGGATTCGCAGGTGCACCGAATATCTTAACCCTTATTATAATAGTCTGCGTGAACCACAACCGCGGCTACATGGCTTTTCAACATTAACGTATAGAATAATGTATTGAAGTATGTAGTCCTTGAACGTAGGCTTTCAGCTTTCCTTTGATAACTATCGTTTGTTCGATTAAATTCTCATCTTTTTCATTTACAGAACGAGGTAATTTAGGGACCCTAGGTCATAGGAACAAAGCAATGTCGAGTGGTTTCGGAGTCCGTCCGTTAAATCAGTCAGTTCTCAATCAGAGAAGTGAACGCCACGCAGGAGGATCCTGCGCGACTCGTCCTGCTCGACTCGGAACAACAATAGCATGTCCTTCTACTAATGCTATCGTATGTCCTTCCCAGTACTATAGTAGACCGCTTCGGAACGCTGTGGGGTATCTGTATATCGTCCTCTTCAAAACCCCATGAACCCCGGCAATATGTCAGTTTTAGTCTTCCTACTACGTCGATAACTTTGTAATCAAATCAGCCTAAATAGAATAATTTTTATTCAAACATCGAAGGACAAGCTAGCATCCCCAGTTAAGGATTCGTCTGGGTTGAGACGTCAGACTTCTCTGTGCTCTCGATGTTATCAGTACTATAAGGATAATCAGCATCGAAACAAGCAGAATCTGGCTGATCATAGAATGGTAACTCGTCGCCTTTACGCTTTTTTTTAACGAACTGTGTCACAGATGGTTTTGTCTTTCGTTTCTTAGAGCTAGTAAGAGCGCTCGATCCATCGACATCGGTATCGCTAGGATTACCATCGCCAGAATCAATGTCTTTTCCATTTTTGACGGAATGTATATCAGAACCTTTCGTCTTCTTTTGGCGGCTTTTCAGTTGGTTGGCCTCGTTAGGCTCATCATCGTTGGAAAAATCCGATGACGAGGAATCGCCCCCTTTATGACTTTCGATGAACTGCGTTACGAACGTTTTCAGCTTGCGCAAGCTGTACTTCTGACTGGCAAATTCGTAGCATCTTTGGTAATACCTGCAAACATCGTCGGTGGGCTTCTTCCACTTAACCTTTATTACAACTCCATATTGCACCTGAACGGACTCCTCAGCACTGATATCCTTCAGCGGTTCCCTCAGTTTGATTTCATATCGGCCTTTCTCATACGATGTCTCCTCTAACACTAGCGAAAAGTACTGCGATTCTCCGGTTTTGCTATCGGCTCGTCGCAGAGTCGCTGCGCTGGGCATTCCTGAGGTATCCCAATTCCAGTTAGACGACTTTGGGCAGAAGCTCTCCCCCAGGCTAAGACACGCAATATGTAGCGCTCTGCGTTCGCAATAAATATATAGGGAATACTCAGAGGCATCTTTGATATATATAGTTCTCCCTTGATATCGGTAGTTTAGTGATTTCCATTTAAAAGTATTATTCTCCACTACTGCTTGGAATACATCCATAATTTCTCCTACAGCTTGATCGTTTACTCTTTCTTTCGAGTTATAGAATTCGGTCAACGCTTCCACGTGCTCCTCGTTTTCTATAGTAAGCTTCTCAACATTCTCAATGTCTGTGTATTGTGCAATATGTCTGAAAAACCACTTCACCCATTTCGCCTGCAAAAACGAACGGTTATGATAATTAGAGGGCGTGCGGATTGGGAGAAGGGTAGTTTGTTTTACTGGTTTTTGCTTGTCTAACACACAACTCACTACCTGGACACCTAGAATCCAGAGAGACGTTGTCTGTGTGTGTGTGAACGAAATGCCATGCAACTTCCACGTGCTGGTGGTAGGTAAACTCACGCGCATCTACGCCTCCGTGAACTTCCGTAAATTAACTAATTATTATCATTAACTTACGTAATTTATAGTGATGTTACTTATATTAATCTATTATAATTATTTTTTATATAATCTATTCTCGTTTGCTTTTCCGACTCGAAAATGTAGTTTATGTCAAACAAAGTCGTTAGGTCGTCCCATTTTTTCCTCGGCTCGTCATTTGTTGCATGCATAACTGTTTGAACTGCTATGCGAATATGGGTACGAGGTGGAAAAGCTGCTGAGGCTTCCCAATTTGTCTAGTGTTATATACGCCGATAGCTCTACGGCTGCCCGATAATAATGGCTTGCTCGCTCGTCAAAGATGAGTTCTACAAGCGGGAGAACTTATTTCACTCCAGTCGCCCCCTAATAGAGGGGATGCCGTTAAATCGCCGACAACTGTACTGATAGGACGATCATGATCTGCCTATCAGATTTAGCCTAGAATTTTACAGTGCCAATTCTCGAGTTTTCTATAGTCCGTGTTTAGAAAAAGTGCACCAAGTTTTTCCCATCGAACCTAGAAGAGCGATCGAAGCGTGGTTCATTCCTCACGTTGAGGTTGCAGTTTTCTCCACTTTAAATTTGCAAATTGACAGAAAATGAAGGTTAGTAAATGAGAAGCGATTCAAAAGAGCCCTACAAGTTTCCCTCCTCTAATTGCCTGCCATGCCGTGGTGATCACCTAAGGAAAGAAGCGATCGCGTCATACAAAATAAACCATACAAAAATATCTATTACAAGCGACACCACGCAGTCAACAAATAAGCGGACCTTGTACCCTACTGTTGTATTGATACCCCCGTAAAATTGCCCACCGGCTGACCAAGTGATTATATTATAGATCAAGTGCTATGATGGCCTACGTACCGCTTTCCACTTCGATGAATAGATGAATCGAGAAAACGAAATAACGTGAGGTAGAGCTCGTTGGAAGAACTTCAAAAAAGCGTCTATCCTTTCCGGATTATGTCCTTCACTCTGAAGGAGTTCTATCTTGTGTTGAACATCTGGTACGAGAAGCTTCGTACCGCCTCTCAATGAGATGAGACGGCGCTGCGTCCGTTTCAAGTCCACCGTATCGCTTTCATTGTAGTATTGTCTACGTCGTATTCCGTTTCTAGGCTGTAATACGTCTTCAGGTAACATCATTCTTCCATAACAAATAAACACGTTGGAGGTTAGATAGAATACAGCTTAAAAGCCGACACAATCAACTTTCACCTATTAGAGCGGCAGCGCGGCAACTCTGCGCGCTGAATATAGTTTGATATCCAATGCATCGATTGAGATATGTTTAGCTTAGATATATAAATTCTGTGTATTTAAATGAATCACTAAAATTAGACAAATTTTACTATACCTTTCTTGTGGAAACTATTATGTAGAAAATATTTGTCGTATATATCCGACTGGCGAAAGACAGCTCATAGTATTTAAATGTTATATTCCATAATTATATTTGGTAATACATTGTTACTGCGTGGGCAAATCTTTAGCTTCGTCGCTGATCTGTTTTAAAAACGGAGGGAATTCTGCGTGTTGGGATATTGCAACGTACCAACGGTACTTCTTCGAAGGGGTACTAAGTGCGGTAACACAACGTAAATTGCAAGGAACTTGTCAACTGCATAGTCAAAAGGAAATCTATCTAAGGTATTCTTTGAAATAAAAGAAAAAAATGTTTTCATTAAAATCGCAGTTTACAGTACATAGTTCACTGAAGACAAGCCTCCGTGGTAACTATTTCCCACGAGAAGACGACGAACAATTATAAACTGCTGTGTACAGCAGACAACTTATAAGTGCAAGCGATTATTAGTGAAACGTAAGTTAGAAGCTATTTACAGGAGTTTCGGGTATGCTATCATTCCTGTAAGTAAGTTGAAAAGCATCGAAGCGCCGGAACTGCGCACTTGAATTTTCAAGTTGTATTAATAATTATTCATTTCAACTAATAGCGTCTGTCTGTATAAGATCCGATTTTGGAAATCTTTTTTTTCTTTGCAGTTTTCGTTCGTTACTTGTTATGGGTGAAAAAATCGCCACTGATTAAAGGAACTATGTCTTGACGCAAGTCTTTGATCCGGATCCATCCTCCTGATGGAACAGTATCGTGTTGACCGCGAAGGGATTTATGTAGGGGATCGATTTGGGTCCCAATCGACTGAATAAGTCTATATTACCCCTATAATTTTCACAGTTAAATTACGCCGAAAAGTAGCATAAAGGGTAATTGCGTTTTGTCCCTATTAATACCAATTGCTTCTAAAGACAGCGTCACCATGCCGTTGTTGAGCGGACAGCATTATGATAACAGCCACAGACGTTTTCTTACGTGCCTTAGTGTTTTGTCGTGTGATTTTTCCCATTAATCAGTGTTTTTAACAGCCAAACATCGTTCAGACATCATTAAGCTGTCTGACACTCGGCTGTTCGGCCAGGGTTCCTAGTGCAGAAATTAATTAGTAGTAATGGACGCCATTAACAGGCGTTGGGTATGAATATTTTTTACACAATTTCTCCTCCCATCCGGAAAACATTGTTTTGTCTTATACTCAAGACTACGCAGGGACACTGGCCAGCAGTGTTAGCGTAGGAGCCGTGTCATCATATCTGACCACAATTGATTATTACTATTTCAATGTACACAGATGTACAAGCCAAACAAAAATACCCAAAATTGACCTACCAGACATTTTGCTTTGTTTTCTTTCAGCTACAGCTTGTACCCAGAATCAGAAGAGTAGCTTATAATTATTGTGCCTGAACGAAAACACTATTTATTAATGAATCGGAGTGCCAGTATAGCAGTTATATATTTCACTAGTTGGCAGGAGCTATTTGCTCAAGCATTTGCGTCGTTTATTGAAAAACGATATTGTACAAAAATGAAGTGATGATGTGCTGTGAAGCGGTCGATTCGGCATGTGTTTATCAGTACATTTTTTCCTCATTTGTTAATTATGTTACACGGGCAGAATATAGAGGTAAAAAACAATGTATGTTCAAACTTGACGGAAAAACCTCCTTCGGATCAAATCCGAAGCATTCCGCCTACATTGTCAACTTCAGCTACATATCAACTGAACGGACAGAAAAAAGAGACGAACGGGAAGGTAGTCGTGCAGTATAGCGTGTGCTGCTATCGAGTCAGTTTACTATATAAACCACATAAATAGATTTTACACTTTTTTCCTGATACAAAAGGTCTTGCCGCCACAGGAGTACCGATTTAGAAAGTTCTGCACCTTGATAAGTTGTGTAAGGTAGGCGATGGATGTTGTACAGGCAATCAATTCTTATCAGTTATCTAGTTACCGAGCTTGCATAACATGTAACTTAACAACATACGCGCAAATAAACGCCTGGTGCTTTTATCACTGATGAAGTCATATTTAATTGTAACTTTTGCCATTACGAATCCATTCCTGGTGGCGATCGGTCGTAAATAAGAATATTTTTACTCCACCTAAGTCGTAATTAGACAATGTGTTGCATCTGCCAAGTCGAAGGTATTGAAATTGTTAAACTGGAATAGAGGACATTAGAACTTGTCTGAAGCAGGTGCGGATGGGTGTCGTTGCATCCTCATGGTAGAAAGTTTTTTGTGCCTCTTATCGACATTCCGTTAACAACGGCACTCAGTCTCAAAAACAGATATACCCACAGTGAGTTATACTCGGGCTTCTTGAGGTAACCCGTTTCATTAATTAATAATATTGAGTATCATACTATTAAATACGAGTATTTAATAGTATGATACTCAGCCATTTTTGCTGAACACAAGCCTCCTCGAGGCAGGTTTAATTGTAACAGGGTGACGTGCGGTGATTTCACAATTAACCTTCTAGGCGATCTGCCACAATACAAAAAGCAGAACGCGTTCTGTGTTGCCTTCTGGTGTCATGCTTTCCTTTGGACCTCCATCAGACCGTTGCGAGAGAATTTCCTGTGCTGCTTCTCAAATCTTAACGGGAAAAAACTATCTAGAGTTTTTTAATTTTTGTAGTCGTAAACTGGCTAATTTATTCATCATCAAATGCTTGCATGACTTAAATATTTGAGGATCTAAAAAGATTCTTCAGGATCCCAGAAGCGTCGCACTTTCATCATCTTTGCAATCAACGACTTGCGCGATTTTAGAAGGGGATTCATAGGGCTTTGCTTGTACAATCATATATTGATTGTTTTTTTTTTTTTATTGAACTTTTTACCCCAGGATAATTCACGAATGGACTACTACAGGCGACCCTGGCGGACTACAAAATTGGATTAACTCTCAAATTACGGATCGGTAGCGGCCGAAACTTAGTTCGTGAATATCCAATCTCTTAAAAACTTTGAGTGAAAACCAGTTGAGTTCGCTCCGGAAAACATAAGAGTAGAAGGACATTTTTTAGCCTTGAAAATTAACGATCAGTGGTTAAGTTTTTGTTCCTCGTAGGTTAAAGCGTTGCATAAGTTTGTCGAAGATCGGTGAAGCCGTCAGGCAAAAAGGCCTTAAGCGAAGGCACAGTGTTTAAATGGTACAAACGTCTCAAGAACGGTGACTGGAGCACTGAGGACCAGCGAAAAGGTGGGTGGATGTCAGGAGCCTCAGGACAAACGTGCATCGCCGAATTTGAGGAGGTTTTTACGACAGCTGAGCTAGAAGCTCAAAGGCTCTGTTGGCCAACATTGGCGTTCCACACGTGTTACATAAGTATAACTTGAATGCTGAAAATGAGGAAACTGCGTAAAAAATGGGTCTCCCGTGAGCTAACTTCAGGCCAGTTGTGGATGCCAGCAATGCATTCCAGGTGCAATTTGAAGAACTTAATCAGAACTTGAAGAACCCGCCAGGAGCATACGGTCGCCATGGACGAGGCATGATTCAATTACCGGGTGAGAGAATGGCGTAGCCCTGTAGAGAAATGGAGTTCGGTGCTAAGTGTTGAGTAGGTTGAAACGCAAGGTGATTATAGTACCTGCAGTGGATATAAAAAGCACTTGCTATTATGAGATACTTATGATCAATGAAATAATGAATGCAATCTTGAATTTCTCAAAACATTTATGAACAAAAACACGTAATCTGGTTGCTTAACGACGCCAAACCTCATCGCCATGTCCTAATTACTTCTTGGCTCGAGCAAAGACATATAGAATCTTGGCTTTAATGGGCTTCTTCTCTCGGTCACAGCCTATGTAGTTTGGGGCTTTCAATACTCCAAAAAAAGCAACTGGTGAAACAACATACTCGACTGTGAATTTAGTTGGAAAACATGAACAGGTAGGTACATGGTTGTTTCGAAGCTGCCAGAGCACTTCAAGTGTCTAAAAGTAAATGAGGCCTCTAATACATTAAAAATCATCGCTCTAGCTGGGCTAATTCAAGTTATTCAATTTCAAAATGTGCCAGGTTCACTTTTAACAGCTCAATAGATTATACTTGCTCTTGAGTTCTCTGCCATGACAACTGACATGAGGCTTTCGCGATATGAAAGCCGTCTATCTGTCCTTCTCATCATTAATCAATGTGTATATAAATTTATTTATTGTAGCAACGCCTCAGAGAAACGATTATAGGAGTATTGGGCCGCTTATCGGAGAACAGCGAAATTGGAAGCGAACGGGTCAGCGGTTATGATCAGAAACGAAAATCATCTGAGGATGTTTTTTGGGCGAAAACTCACAAACAAAGAACAAGTTTCGCATTGAACAAGCAGATATAATGCGAACTATTTCCAATAGAGAACTCTGAACAGCGTTTGAATAAGCTTAAGGAACGATCTAACATGACGTTTGTTCCCTTGAACATAAAGGATAAATATTACAGAGCTCCTAAAATGAAACAGTGGCTATGGGAGGCCAGGCATAGAGGACCTCAGACGCCCGACTTCCTGAATTTTTTTGAGGTTTAACGGCCGATACTGCTTTTAAACGGCTGACTCGCAGAAAGAAACGAGATATGTCCAGTTTTGAATTTAGACCACCTCGAGTTTTATTAAGTTTAGTAAGTATATACGTTCCCCTGTACTGTCACAAGGACACGTATAACTTGCCGATGTTTCACATGGATGTGAAAATGAAGAACCATATTATCGGAAAACGAAGATCATGCGTGCTGTCTCAATTTTTTTTACCTGACGGTGGTTTTTACCTAACAAG